ATTCTAAAATTGTTTGTCAAATCACCATAAAGAGCTACAATATCTTGCTCTTTCATAATTTCTAACATCTTGACTCAAATGATAGCATAGATTACAGCTAAACCTACTTTTCTTTGATCAATTATCTAATAATAGAGCTTTTTTTCAGCTTCAGGAAAAAAAGCCTTTTGCCCAGAACCAACACGTTTGCTATTTCTGCTTACATTATCTATCCATTTTTTGCTTGCTCTAACCTAGCGTCCAACCATACTTTCATTAAGCTTAAAATGTGCTGCTGCATTATTTCTTTCGAATTCCTTTACATAATTAATAACAATTTCTTTCTGTTCAATAGAGTATAAAGTTCAGGTTCGTTTGAAAATTTTTGCTTTAGTTTTACTTTTTTTGACAACCCGCTTGCATTTTTGTGGCATTGTTTATATTTGTGTATGGTGACTAAAAGCAAGTATGACCAAATATTACGCACATTGTGTTATATATTTTCGCATTTGCGTAATAATCATGATTATGCCAATCATCGCAGATTATCGCAACATTGTGCAAATCAGCATTTATTTTGGACTTCTAAAGAAGCCAAATTTTATAATTTTTAAATTACTCGAAAATAAGCACCCCTATAGCAAAAAAAGTATGCTTATTTTCAGGACTATATGGTAATTATATCAAAAAACTAAATGCAATAAAAATTTCAAAATTTCTCAAGATTTGATATTCTTAATAATGTTTTTATATAATAGATTTAATAGGATTTAAAATATTAAAATCAATAAAAAGTTTATAATAATATATATAAATACAGTTAACTCTTTATAAATACACCCTTTATAAATGTATACCCTTTATAAATGCATTCTTTTATTTGATTCCAACTTGGACCTTAATGCTAAATACACGTTTTTATATATATACTCTCTGTAAATACACTCTTTATAAAAATTTTACATAGTTTACTTATAAATTTTTTTATTACCTTAATTATAGATTAATATTATATAGATTTATATATTCTATAAATGCACATCCTCTTTAAATGCATTCTTATACCTAGTCCCAAGGGAGTGCATTTATAGAGTTGATTATATAATTTTATCTTTTTTTTTTAAATACTTATTTATTTTTAATAAATTATTTAAATACATTTTTTTTTTATCAAGGTTTTATTAAATAATAAAATGCATTTATTCTATGTTTATTAAAAAGGTAAATTTTTTTTTGAAGAATTGGAAAAAAACTTGGATAAAAATAAAATAAATGCGTTAAAATTATGATTCTATATTTAAAAAAGGTTTTAATATTATTTTGGTTACCATAAGAAATACAGTATAATCATTGAATAAAGAATATGGTTAAACATTTTGGAACGATTTTGTTATTTTGTAAAGTTTCAGAATTTTTAGCATGGATTTGGTCATAAATTTAATTGCGTAATGTACCAAAGTCTTGGTTTCAGCCGGGTTTCGGTTTTTAATTTGTTTCAATTTCAGTTTCGGAAATAGTTTCGGACGGGTAACATGATTTTAGTTGAAATTGATTAAAAAAAAAATCTTTACAACACTGTCACTATCCTGATTCTACAAATTCCACCACATTTGGCAAAAAAAAAAAAAAAAAAAATTTGTTATTCCTATCGGAATTGGTCAACGACAAGACGAATTATCATTAACATTATAATAATTCTCAAAATAGGCAATGCATGCAAATGGAATGTGTAATCAAATTTAACCTTAGACGGGACTAGAAATTGTCCTTGGGAAATTGGGAAATCATATAACATCTAGATTATCTGAATCAGAACATTTATAAAAGAAAAAAACATTTCAGTTCACACCAATATTTCTTTTTACTTTGGATTATAATTATCGGGTTTTAATTTGTAATTAAATGATGTCTTCAATTCGTTTTGCTCGCGCTTTTTCTTCACGTGCTAATGCAGTAAAGTTCATTGCTAATGCAACACGTCCAAAAACTGTTTCGAGCACAATTCCTTTTCGTACCCTTGCTATTCCAAGTTTAAACCGTTCTTATAGTACTCAACAAACACAACAACAAGAACAGCCCGAACAAAAAAGTAGTAGCGGTAGTGGTAGGGCGCTATTCTTGTTAGGAGCTGGTCTTATAGGAGCGGGAGCTGGATATTATTTTTATAGCGCCGCAAATTCTTCAGAAGTTTCTCCTACCATAGCGAACGAAACCCTTGATTATCAAAAAATTTATAATCAAATAGCTGATATTCTAGAAGATAATGATTGGGATGATGGTTCCAACGGACCAATTTTTCTTCGCCTTGCATGGCATGCAGCTGGCACTTATGATAAAGAATCCAAAACTGGCGGTAGTAATGGTGCTACTATGAGATTTGCTCCTGAATCCGATCATGGTGCTAATGCCGGACTTAAGCATGCTAGAGATAAATTAGAATCTGTTAAACAAAAGAATCCCGCTATTTCTTATTCTGATCTATGGAGTTTAGCTGGTGTTGTTGCTAATCAAGAAATGGTATTAAATTTTTTTTTTTTTTCTGTTCCTTTTTTTTTCGGTGAGTTAATTTAACAATATGTATAAACATCTAGGGAGGTCCGACAATTCCATGGATTCCTGGACGGTAAGTTATTTATCTCATTTTTAACATTCATAAATTTTTTTGTTTAATCTTTGTTTATATTATAATTTCTAGTAAGGATGCTGATGTCGCAACAGCGTGTTCTCCCGATGGCCGTCTTCCTGATGCTTCTCAAGGTCCATCTCACGTACGAGATATTTTCTATCGAATGGGATTCGATGATCGGTAACTATTCAATTCCTTTTTAGCTAGTAAATCAAAAACTTGACTTACAAGGTTTTCTGAAAATGTTCGATATAGTGAGATTGTTGCGCTTGTTGGAGCTCATGCCCTAGGTCGTTGTCATACCGATCGTAGTGGTTACCATGGTCCTTGGACTTTTAGTCCTACCACATTTACAAATAGTTTCTTTAAGGAACTTTTGGATAGAAAATGGGTTGATAAAAAATGGAAAGGACCAAAACAATTTGTTGACAAAGAGTCTGGTATGAATCATTTATAATGAGTCAAGTAATAGTTCTTTTCTTTTATTTGATGTTTGACACTTACTCACATATCTATCTATTAGGTGACCTTATGATGCTTCCTGCTGACATGGCTTTACTTCAGGTAATATAATCAATTTGTTTTTAACTAATCACCTTTTAAATTGTTTCAAACTTATATTAAATTTTCTATTATATAGGACAAAAATTTTAAGGTTTGGGTTGAGAAATATGCTAAAGATGAAGAATTATTTTGCAAAGATTTTGCTGCTGCATTTCATAAACTTGAAGAATTGGGTGTACCAAGATCTGGAAATGAAAAGGTTTATCATTTTAAGCCAACTGGTGAAAATTAGTTTATCATGATAAACATAATATATATATATATTTATTTATTTACTGTATATATTTGAATAATTTATGAGATGTTTGATTAATGAAATTATACTATTGTCACGCAATAAATATGTTAAATGCCTTATTAAAATTGTGATTCAGATCAATTTTATAAAAGATCCATCATATTTGTGATAAACCCTGTAATCGTAATGTCGTGTCGTTACATCATATGAACATATGAAATTGAACGATTCCGATTCCCAAAAGAAATTTTTGGTACCAAAGACTGTCACGTGAGAAAAATTGATGAAGGTTATCGATTAAAAATTGATGATCTTTAACAAAACGATTCAAAAAATTTTCCAATGTCCAAAAAACTCAAAATAAGCGCGAAATCTGAACGTGTCTTTTCTTTTGAAGAACTTGTACAGCAAGCAGCAGATATATTATAATGAATTGCATAAACTTTCTGATAGTCTGAACGAAGATTCCGTCATCACCGTTCAGTTACCAAAGCTAGGACCCAACAAACTTCAAGAGCGTTTTCATCTGAATCAAAAAGTACCTGTAATTAGTAGGAATTGTCAGCAGGAAACTTGGAATGATATAAATGAAGCTCTCGATGAACAAAACGCGTCAAGAGGACTCTATATACATGGACCTTCTGGTTTAGGAAAGTCATACACCTTGTATTATATTGTTTCGCAACTCCGTCTGCAACCTGAAGTGTGTAGGGTGACATATATCAATAGTTGTGATTTGTGGTGGAACACATATCAGGAAGATCCATACGAATATTTATTGAACGAGTTGATATGTACTTTCAACATGGATAAGTTACCAACAAAGACCATAGTTGAATGGGCGAATTTTGTAATGCAAGCTTGTGGTTCCGAATTTAGGAGTACGGAATTTATCAGGTAATTTGAATTATTTCACAAACTTTAAAATTAATAATATGGTAAATTTCCGATTTTGTTTTTTTAAACATTCTAAGAGGGGATCGCTTTTTAATATTTCTTAATGAATTAAAAAAGTTTGTCTCAGAGAAAAATGTACGTTGGATTTGGATCTTTGATCAGCATAATGCTTTGTATAAGTATAATATTCTTAATATATTTCCCTTTATATTGGTGAAGAGTCTTCCTTCATTTCTAAATAATAATGGACTCATTATTGTTTCAGCATCTACTAATAATGAGGTGTTTCCAAAAGAATTTAAACCATGGAAGCAGATAAATTTATTTGGTGGTTATGATAATAATGAATTCAATGAATGGTGCAAATTATATAACTATGACATTGATGGGGATCTAGAAACCAAGTCTCAATTGGAAGTTATCAAATTTTGGCCCTTTGGAGTTAGATATATGGCATCAGACACCAGGCAATAACCTGTTAGAGAAGCCCCAAAAATATTTGGCAAATCGAAAAGCAAGTATTGGGTTAAGTCATCAATCTTATATAGAAAGTTTATCAATTGGAAGGAAGGAAAATCTTTCTAAATGTGTTACTTCTATGATTCTTCAAACTGTTCCTCCTGAAATGGATTATGGAATGGATCGACAATTGATGCATAAAGATACTATTTTGGTTTGGAGGGTCAAAATAAGGATAAGGAGGTTAAGGTCAATACAATTATTACTATCCATCCGCTTGCCAGACTAGCTATCATTCATGTTCATGATAGAGAAATAATTAGTGGCATTCAAGTGGTTGCATCAACAGTTCTCCGAAGTACAGCATACACCAATGATGCCAAACGAAGGATTGCAGAATTATACATTATAACAGGAATGGAAATGATGAAAATTTTTGAATTTAAGTGTCGGTATGTTTTAAAATTAATACAAATAAGAAATCATGCCTCATAATGTGACAAATTATTTTTGTTTAATTTAGAAAATTTTCAAGAAATAAGCCCGTTCAAATTGAAGAAAGAATTGAATTTGACAATGTTATCAGATTTACTAATAATGATGTTCCTGTCCACATAAATTTCAACACAAATCAAAAAACTTTCTTTATTCCAGTATCTCCAAATTATCCTTGTGTAGATTGTCTTATCTGGAATCCTCAGAATAAGAAGTTGTTTGCATTTCAAATCACTGTTAGCGAGCTTGTGAAACATGATAATAGCGTAAAAAATTTTTTGACAAAAGGGGTTAACACTTTAAGAAACAAATGGGCAACATTGTGTAATATAAATGAATCTGATGTTTATTTTATCTGGATTGTTCCTGATGATGTTATTGATGAATATATTACAAAAAAATATTATAAGAGATACTCATCAATTATATGTAACATTTTCAAGTATCAAAGATCAATTTTCAGCTTTAGCTAGCTTGAATAGATACAATGAAAATTAAATGAGTTGGTTTTTACAATAATATTAATTAGCGTATTTGTGAAGTTTCATGAATTTGAAATAAATAAATTTTCTTATTAAAATAATCAGAATGATTAATAAATTGGATTTATAAAGTACTTAAGTTTGATTATATAAAATAACCACTTTTATGATTCATAACTTACAAAAGTATTTAATTATTTTGTTATAAAATAATTGTAAAAATCTTACAAAAACTTATATTGTATACTAGGAATGAGCTTTTCAAATTAACTTTTTTAACTTCATCAAATTTAATCATTTGAATAAACTTCATATTTATTCATCTCAAATGGAGTTACAGAAAACCAATTCTGATATCATAACTGAAAGAAGTTCGTTTGCAAGGTTGTATCGTGTATGATTAGCATTATGATGAAAAGGAAAAAGAGGTTGATAATTAGCAGCTAAAATGATTGATGCTTCAAATGCTATTAAAAATTAATGTTAAAATTTTATTAGAGATTAAATTTAATTCAGAATTAAAAGATAAATAATATATATATATCTTTGTTATCTATAATAAAATAACTTTTCAATTAAATATTAGAAAAAATTGGATTAGAGGCCTAAAAATGAGCAACTTTTACAAAAAAAAAATAAAAAAAAATAATGCATATTAGCGATTTTAACTGATATAATTGGAAAATTAAAATTGAATAAAAATGAAGTAAATAATATAACTTTAAACAAAACTTACATCATAATTAATTCTAAGAAAAATTTTAATGAATAGTAAAATATTAATCAATTAATTGATCAGGTATTTTTATACTGATATTATAATAATAATTAATATTATTAAAAATTGAGTTATACCAATTTTTGAAAAAATCTATTCTAATATAATTGTTATACTTACCTTTAATAATTTTTTAATTACATAAAATTAGCTAATAATACTTTAAATATAATAAAATAAAACTTAATCCTGAAGGTAAATAGTCAATTATACATGATATAATATTTAATGAATAAATACAAACTATAACATTCCATTTTGATTATTTTAATGAAAGTTTTTATAACAAAGCTAAAAGTATGAAGTTAATATTATAAGAATGTGATTTATAGATTTTAAAATTAAAGCTTTTGTAATAAAAATAATGAATTAACAAAAAAACCTAAATATTATGCATGTCATATTTTAGATACTCAAGAAGATTTCTGCAATTAAGAACTTTTATTACAGAAAATTATTAAAGGTTTTAAATATAAAGTGATATTTTATTTAAAATATGATTATAAACTTAATTATATAGAAATGTATTAAGAATATAAAATATTATACTTAATAATACTCTAATTATATATAGAAAGGATTGCAAAAAATAATTTCACATATATTAAACTTAGTTTCTTTAGATCAAATATGTAAATATACTCAAAAATTAGTAAAATTTATAGAATACTATTAAAGAAATTAATAGGATTACAAACTGAATATAGGAAGTTTGCTAAGAAAATGGAATTTTGAAAAGTTTTTGACTAAAATTAAGATCTTATTACATTTTAATCTAATAACATTAAAAATTAAAATGTAATAAAATTCAAAATTTTATTAAAAAATTTTTAGAACCCCATTTTCTAGTAAACTTCTCATATGTTTTAAAAAAATATAAATCTTATCAAACTGTTCTAAATTTTATTTTTAAAACTTTTGATAATTTAATAAAATAAATGATATTTACGTAATTAGATTTAAATTAATTATAAAATTATTTTATGATTATTATGTGATTTGATTATTATTTCTAATTAAAATACATATAATTTAATTTATAATTTATTGTGACACATACTATAACTTAAACTATGAAATCTTTTTGTATAAAATTTTCAATATACAAGTCAAGTTTTTAACTTATAATACAAGATTTTTAACCTATAATTTTATGTTTAAATAATTTAAAATTAGAATTTCTACTAAGATAAGTTTAGTGATGCTAGTTTTTTTTCTTTTTTTATAATTTGAATGATAAATTTTTTTCAATTTTACTTTTTTAATAAAAGTATAGTCTATATATTTAAGTATATTATAAGACTATAGGAATTAATAAGAAATTATTTCATTATGTGTTAAAAAAAGTCTTTAAAATGATGAATTTATTCTTTTTACATAATATAAGTTAGTAATCAATTCATATTATTAACTAGTATATCATAATATAATCATATCTTAATATAATGAAATAACTGATCCAGCTAATCAGATTTTTATTATAAGAATCTTTGTTAACAATATAACGAATTATTCAGTATATATAACAAATAATTTATTATAGTATTAATGAATTATTTGTATAATAGATGATTATTGATTTCATTACACAAATATAATTTTACTATAATATAATTTTTTCAGAAATATTTTCATGTTATTTTGTAAATTCTAATCATTTTATTTTAATATGCAAACTGTTAATCATTATATGACAGTTTTATTAATTTATTAAATTGTTTTTAAAAAATTTAATTTATCATTTTTTTAAGAAATTAAAAATAAAATAAAAAAAATAAAATAAAAAGAAAATAAAACGAGATGAAAAAATGAAATTAAGAAAACTAAATGAAATAAAAAAATAAAATTAAGAAAATAAAACAAAACTATAAAATAAAATTAAGTGAACGAGACAAGACAAAAAATAAATGAAATGAAACTATAAAATAAAATTAGAAAACAAAACAAAATAAAACAAAAAAAAATTAATAATTATTGCCTTACAAGTATGTTGCGATTTTTACCTTATGTTTTAAATTTATTTCACAAGTATGTCATGATTTTGCTTTATATTTCAAATTTACTTTATAGTAAACAAATTACGATTTTTCCTTTGAGTATGCCTTGATTCTAAAAAGTAAATATTTTTAATGTAAATCTAAAAAATCATTTAAATGTTTTAATTATTACTAGGTCTATCTCAAGTACTGAAGAAATCATTTGGGATTTTTACAATAAAAAGGAGGAAAATTAACTTATAGTAGTTTTTGAGATAAATAGGTTTTTGTGAAATAAACAAAGGAGGTGAGGTGATACTAAAAATAAAATGAACGATTGACTTATAAATTGCAAATATCAATTATTATCAAAGTAAAAAAATATAAGTAATATTCTTTGCAATAGAAAGGGGAAACAGCCAGAAAAATTGTTATTGAATTTGCTGAATTTGCTGATTAATACTACTTTTTTTAGTGAAGGTTTTTGTTAAAATGGATTTTAGAAGGTAAAGGATTCAGCTTCATTTAATAATAAGTGATTTATTTTTATTTTATTTTTTTTTTAAGAATATTATTAATGTTCCTTTTTTTTTAGCAGTAATCTTAATTTTGACAAGATAAAGAAGGGTTCAGCTTTTATTTAAATGATAAGTGAACTTTTTTTTATATTTATTTTTTTTTGTTTTAAAAACTTTATTAATATTTCTTTTTTTTTTTTAACGGTAGTCTTGGATTTTGATAAAATGAAAGGTTTGGCTTTTGTTTAATGGTAAATGATTATTTTTATTTTATTTTTTTTTATTTTAGAAACTTTATTAATATTCCTTTTTTTTTTAATAGTGGTTTTGGGTTTTGATAAGGTAGAGGATTCAGTTTTCATTTAAATAGTAAGTGATTATTTTTATTTTTATTTTGTTTTTGTTTTTGTTTTAGGAACTTTATTAATGTTCCTTTTCTTTTTTTTTTAATGGTGATTTTAAATTTGTGAAGGATTCAGCTTTTGTAATGGTAAGTGAAAACTTTTTATTTATTTTTTTTTTTTTAAGAATATTATTAATATTTCTTTTCCTTTTCTCTTTACTGATAGTTTTAGATTTTGATAAAGTGGAGGGTTTCCTTTTTTTTTTAGTGACAATTCTAGATTTTATTTATTAAAATTAAAGTTTTTTTTTAGTTTTTTTTATTTTTTTTATTTTTATTTTTATTTTTTTTTGAGAAGCATTATTAATGTTTCTTATTTTTTTTGTAATTATTCTTAACTTGGATTTCAGCTTCTTGATATTTTTAATATTGTTTTAGAAATATAATTAACTTTTATTTCTTTTTTCTTAACAATAACTATTAGATAAAATAAAATTTATTTTTTATTTTTTTTTTTTGATTTGTATCTTAATTAAAATTACCTTTTTTTTCTATTTTAAAAATAAAAATTTATTATTTATAAGTATTTTTTTTATTTTTTTTAAGTTTTTAATTAATATAATTTAAGTAATTTTATTTATATAATAATAATTAATTCATTTATTTAATAATAAAATAAAAAAATTAGTAAATGATGATTTTAATTATCTTTATTATTTATAATAATTTAAGTTTTATTTATTTTGATTAAATTATTTATTATTATTATTATTTATTATTTAAAGCTATATTTTTTTAAAAAAAAAGAAATTAATAATCATATTATTTTAAGTTTATAATTAATAAAATTAATAAATTTATTAATAAAAAAAAAATTATATTAAATAAGAATATTTAATAAAATTAAAAATATTAAATTAATTTTTCTTTTTTAGTTTTAGTTTTAAAATCATTAGTTTAGGATAAAGATTATTTTGTTTATCTAAATCTTGAATATGAATACGAACTTATTCATATAAATACTATTATCTTTCAATACTAAATCTAATTAATATTATTTTACGTGAAAATTCTGTTAGCATTATTTTAGTTTTTAATATCTATTAAATGTCTTTCTCCATCTATTATTTCTCTAATTTTTACACTACCAATTTTATCTTTTACTAAAAATAAAATGATGTTATTTAAGAATACCTGATATAGTTCTAAAATAATTATTTAAAAATTCTGTCTATACATAAAAATAGATAATTCTTTTTCCTTCTTTATCAAAAACTGTTTGTGCTAAATTATATTTACTAATATTGAATCTTTTACAACTTGTATTAAATCATCTAAATTATCTATTTTAATTTTTCATAATTTTAATTTAAATA